GTGTGCTTCTTCCATGTGGGTTTTGTTGTTTCTCAGCTAGATGGCCGCTTGTTTATCTTCAGGCCTTTACCAACACTCTTCTGGCAAAGACAAGACTTTGGGAATGGCAAAAGCAACATAAGTTTTAGATCTCAAAGCTGTGGGAGGGAATTCATCTGAGTCTTCATCAGCAAGATAGTCCTCAGCATTACTTAATGTCTGAACTGCATCTGTTCCTTGTTTCTTCTTAAGGAGAGAGGCACAGGCAACATTCGTCGCCATAGCCAGGGCCAGCTTCTCCTCATTGTTCCTGGAGTCTGTTCTAGCACCTTTTGCCAGAAGCAGCTGGACAATGTCTGCATATCCCTTCCAGGCAGCAGCCTGCAAAGCAGTGTCCCCCAACTTGTTCTGTTGGTTTAGTTCCATATTTGGCTGAGTAAATAGCATTTCCACTATATCTTTGTGACCACTGTGGCAGGCCCAGTATAAGGCAGTGCTCTAAGCCATTAACACCAACACGGTTGTCCAAACACTCTCTCAACTAGCTCAGGTTGCCTCTTTTGGCAGCTTCGTGCAATGGATTGTCAACGGATTCTGCCTTCTCAGCCACATGGTTGTTTGGAATTAGCCCAGTTCTGCCTTTGCAGGTGCCTTTCCACCAATTGGTATCACTCATGTCGGTAATGTAGATAATATCACCTTCTTCAAAGTACAGTCCATCTGGAGTACTGGGTTCAATTGTATACAGAGTTCTGAAGACCTTGACTTGTCCTTGTTTGACCGGTTTGGGTGGTGGCTTTGGCATCTCCCTTCCTGGAGCGAGCTAATCCTACAGAGCATGCACAAGAAGCCAACCAAACGTCCCACCAGTCAGCATTCTGGGCGCTCCAAAGTTTATTTTTTTGTCTGGTTTGCAGTCGTGCTCCTTCGGAGACCTGCATCCAAGCTTGGGCTGCAGCAGATGCAGACGCAGACTCAGCGGCGCTATAGTCACCTTTTGTGTTATGGAAAACAAGTGTTTACTATGAACAAGTCATTGATCTTGGAAAATTCTACCATGCAATTTCCAACTTCATTTCTATCATCAAGTCCATATTTTCCAACTATTGTACCTTCCTCTTTGTTTCCAACTTTTACCAATAATTATCGATGCATCTTGATTGCATGTTTGATCAACTTCTGACTGAAGTCATTGGTAGAATTCTTCAATTTCTTCAAATTCATAGATTAAATTATGCAAGGAGTCTGCTTAATCCACAATTGATTTAATTGTACACAACTCCCTCATGACTGCAACTAGACCACTATTTGTTCAAACAACTAGGAAACATTGGTACATATTTCAAATGTACATAAAATTGTCAAATTGGTATATAAACATGTACTTGACACAATGGGTGGATGTATAGATTGTGATAAGAGTTGCAAGAGCCCCCAATAAAATGATTTTTAAAAATTGGTACATAAAATTAACCATCACACCCTGAGCTAATGGGGAATTCATAAACTATAGAGTGTAAGCATACTGCTATCAAGTATAGCAATGCCCACAGCATGCCTTTCTCCCCTTGATTACAAACAGATACTAATTCTTAGTCTCCCTTTTCTCTGAAAACACATCAGTGCTTACAGTGAACTATCGGGGTCTCTTCATCTGTCACTTTGGAGATTAACAAAGGGTAACTATCCTACATGTGGTCACCACAAATCCCAGAACCAACACAAATCTCAGGGTCTTTCTCTTGACAATCCCTGAGACCATCTATCAGTTCCAGACTCTAGCCCAGTTGCCAACTCTCCATAAGCTTCAGAGGTTCGGAGTGCTGTCTTTTCCCTTTCCACTCTGTCACCATCCTTTAATTGCTTGGGATTTCCCTCTTCTAAGTCTTGTCTGGAAGTCTTGTCTTCTAAGTCTCAGAACAAAATGCTATAAACTCAGTAGTCACTTTTTTAGCAGTTGACAAAGCCAAGGTTTTGTCTTTCCCCCTAAGAATTGGAAAGATGCTTTTGATGGCTAAGACAAAGTAGAGTGGGTACCAAACTTAGAAAAATCATATGCATTTTAGAATCTTACCTAGTTGTCCAAGTTTTGGTTTCTAATCCATATTCCTTCACTCCTTTCTGAAATCAGTAAAATTGAATTGAATAGAAAGTTGAATTTCTATTTCTTTTCTTTATCACTTACTATAGAGCTTATCAAATCTCCTTCTACCAACTGCCTACCCTTATGCAGTAATTCAGTAAGGGTGAAAAAAAGTTGATCCCTTCCATTTTCTTGGTATTCTACCCGAAGAGGGAACCAAAGCAGATAATCAGTGCCACTTACATACATGTTGCACCTGGCACTTGGGTTCACAATTCCTCCTTGGCCCTCCCTTTTTGTCTATACTTGCATAAGTACATACCTGGATCTGAAACAAAGGGTGGGCCAAAGGAGGCAAGGGCTTTAAAGCAAAAGGAGTCAGGTAGTCTTGCATCCACCTGTATTTATTGGAGGAAATAAACGCAATGTACATGTTATCATGCAGCAGAACACTACTCTTATGCAACAACTTTGAAAGATGTTATAGATACAGAAGTAGACCAGACCTTCCTTCACAAACTTACATTAACAAGTTTCTGAGGGAAAGTTGAAGAACAGCATTGTAAGAATTCTGGATAAAGAGAGTCCTGTGATTAAAAGGCTTTAATATCATGTGATGGAGCTTGACACTCTTAGTAAGTGATATGGAGACAATAAATATTTTAAGCAGGAATGTAGTTGCTTTTACCATGAGAAAGAATGCTCCAACCTTTGTGTTGAAGAATTATGGTCAGATAAAACTAAGATAAGCTAGCTAATTATAGGCTCACAGTAATCTAAGAAATATATAATGTGAACTTGAATAGTTACCGTGGAAGCAGAAAGAGAGAAAAGAACTTATGGAATCAAGATATTATTCATCCAAAACACTAGGACACATTTATTGCTGTAGCAAATGAGCAGAGCTGCCCTGAACTTCATATGCCCTCAGCAGGGCAGACACGTGGCTAAAATCCCAATGTATTTGCAATGTCCAATATATCTAAACTTTACATCAACAATAATAGTTTAAAATCATCATCAGGAAGTTGTAATATAAAACAAGAAGTGGATTTTCAAAAAAAAAAAAAAGATGGAAATTGGGTAGGACCCTGGGAGAGGAGGGCAAGCGTTAAAGGTAACAGGTGCAGATGCTGATACGTACACAGTCTTGCAATAACGATCATTTACGGGAGAGGCAGCCTGGTGATATAGTGGGTGACAAGTTGGGTTGCTTAATGCAAGGTCAGCAGTTCAAAATCACCAGGTTCTGCTCCATAGAAAGAGGAGGCTTTCTGCTTCTATAAAGGTTAACAGCCTTGGAAATCCAGAGAGGCAGTTCTCTGTTTCACAGGGTCGCTGGGAGTTAAAATCAACTCAATGGCAGTGGGTGAAGTTTGGATTGGGGTTATGGGATGAGGCGTTAATAGACGTGCAGGCTGAACAGGTGTGGGAGGGAGAGTGAAAATATACCCCAAGTGTACATAGGTTTGACAGAGGATAATTGTACATGTGTGTGTACCTTTTCTGCAAATATATCCATAGTGGTGATGCAACACTCAGGGAACAGAGTGATGGAAAATTTTTAAGCATAAAAAAACCTTAAGGGAATGAGTCATTGGGCCTGGGGGATCAGGGCTGTAGGTACAGGGGACACCAGGGTCAACTGGCATACCGTGGTGCACAAAGACAATGCTTTACATCCTCCTTTGGTAAGTAGTGACTGGGGATTTAAAGCTCATGAGCAGCCATCTAAGCTACCACTACTGGTTTCTCCCTGTCCAGATGAAAGAAGAGTGATGGAAATGAAAAACATGGAAACAATTAGTCTAATGAACTAATGATGAACTAGTGAACCCTTAGACATCAGTCTCCATGACCCTGAGATCAGAAGACCTAGATGGTACCAGGCTAGCATACCTACTTCTGTGAAAGGGATCGCATAAGAATAGAGTCGAAAAAAATTGTGGATCAAAACTCAAAATCATAAAAATATCCAGGCTTGTCAGGTGGACACTAATGGAACCTCTGAAACTATGGCCCTTGGTCATCCTTCTGGTCTGGAAATGAACTTGCCTATTGACACAATTTTCAGCCAAATAGGTCTATAACAATAGCACTAGGCAAGTACATTGTGGAATAACCAGCAACTTGGGATCAAAAGGGCAGCATGTACCCAAGAACAAATTTCAGAAAGGCTAACAGAGGAGGAGGCCTGGAAGCACAAACCACAGGGAGGAAGTGAGATAAGTGATATTCCATCATGGGGATCTTATGAATCGTTAAATGGAAAACTGATCTGGCCTATAGACCTGCACCCAGTTAAAGGAAGGAAAAAATCAACCTCCTCCTCTCCCAAGCAGGTGAATCATCTTATCTACATTGTATGGACAAGCAGAAGACTAATGAAATATCCTGTGTTCTTTTTTAAAGGTCCAATATGGGTGTTGAAATGATGAAAGGATTCAAACCCATTGTTGTCTCCAGCTGCAACAGTAAGTTGGCTCTCTCCCACGGTGGTGGTGCTTGGCACAGATTCTTTTCAGGAGCATTCTGACACAAGTGCATTCGACGAGGCTGTCTAGAGAAACAAAGCCAGTGACACTCAATAATGTATAAGAAAGAGCCTTTATGTCAAGAAGGCATCCCAGCCCAATCCATAGGCCCGATGCTAGGCAGAGAGCCCTCTTCAGAATCAATGTAGTTGCAGGCCAGTGATGGAGAAGGGCGAAGCAGGATGCAGGAAGATCACAGCTGATGGGTGCAGAGTCATGTGGATCCAAGACCGATCGAAACATGGCAGGGCAGTAGTAGCTCTCTGGGCTGAGCAGCCCACGTGAGACCAGCCTTAGAGGCAGGCACAGAGCCCCAGCAGCTAAGAAGGCTAAGGGGCAAATCGAAAAACAGTTCCCACCTTTAGCTTTTATACAAACGGCCACACCCCCAAGCAGGTGTCATCAGGCTACCACTTGATTGACAGTTTGAATTCTGCCGCTACCTCCAACAGGTCCCATCAAGTTCACATAAAAATCTAATTGCCACAGCAGGGGAAGTTATCAACACTAATGTTAGTAATCCTAGTTGTCCCAGAGCTCAATTTCTAATGGTTGTCTGTTGAGACAAGCACTTTAGGAGGTTTTTTTCCCCATTTTTATTGTAAATTAGGTGGGGTGGGGTTACATTTCAGATCATCAACTTTTATCCAACTGTTTAAGCTGCTAGTCAAATGCCTCACTTGTTTACCCTTCACCCACTCCATGCTGCTTCCTCTGGTGGACTTGTATCTTCGGTTGCACAGAACTTCACACCAGCTATAGTCTCGCCCATTGCTTTCTTCTCCCTCCCCTGCCCCTACGCCCAGCCCTGGCAATCTCAAGTTGTTCCCTTTGGTATGAATGTCTTTAGCTTCTTTTTTAACTATATTCCCTTATAATGATGGTATCGTACAACTTGTCCTTTTGTGATTGACAAATTTCACTCGGCCTGAAGTTCTCCAGATCTATCTCCATCGTGAGGTGCTTCATGGTTTCATCATGGTTTTTCAGTGATATATAATATTCGAATGTGTGCCAGAGTTTCGATATCCATTCTTCTCCTGATGGCTGTCCAGATTGATTCCATCCTTTTGCCGCTGTGAACAATGATGCAGTGAATTCACGCTATTGTGTGGTGTGTGTGTGTGTGTGTGTGTGTTGTGTATCTGTGTTATGACTCTTCCTTCCGTAGAACACATACCTGGCAGAGGGATGTCTGGGTCCTGTGGAACTTCTACTCCAACTTTGAAGTAGTATCATAGTGTTTGTGCATATGTACAGTCCCACCAGTAGTATATGAGGGTTCCAATCTCTCCTAGGCCTCTCTAGCATTTGTTTATTTTCTGGGCTGTTGTTGTTTTTTTAACTTAGTTGTTAATGTCAGTGTAAGGCGGTATCTTATTGTTCTGGTTTGCATATCTCAAATGGCTAGTGATCATGAGCATATCCTCTGTTTTTTTGCCATTTGGATGTCATCTTTCCTTGGTAAAGTGTCTGCTCATGTCTTTTGCCCACTTTATAACTGGGTTCTTCTTTCTCTTATTGAGGTGTTGTAGTTCTCTATAGATTTTAGAAATTAGTCCCTTGTCTGTTCTGTCGTTGCCAATTTTTCCCCGACTCCACAAGTTCCCTTTTCACTCTTTCGGTAAAGTCTTTTAATGCATATAAATGTCTTATTTTTAGTAGGTCCCAGTCATCAATTTTGTCATCTACTGTGTGTTTTCTTTAATATATGTGATAGTGTGTCTGTGCCCAGCCAAAGGATCCCTTAAGTTTGTAAGGCCTCTTTTCTCACTGGTGATCTGTATAACACTGGGTTTTACATTTAGGTCTTTGATCCATCTTCATATGTTCCCAAAGTTCAGGTGGGATATACTCAAGGTCATATTTTGGCTTTTGTGGACTTGTTTTAATTTCTTTCTGCTTCAACCTGAACTTACATATCAGCAATTGATGATCTGTTCCACAATTGGCCCTGGTCTGGTTTTAGTTACTGATATTGAGCTTCTCCATCATCCCTTCCCACAGGTGTAGTCAATTTGATTTCTGTATATCCCATCTGGAGAAGTCCATGTGAATAACCTTTTGTGTCACTGAAAAAAAGATATTTGCCATGAAGTCATTGCTCTTGCAAAATTGTGTCTTGTAATCGCAAGCTTCGTCTCTGTCACCAAGGCCATATTTTCCAACTACTGTTCATTCCTTCCTCTTTGTTCCCAAAATGCTAAATTCTTAGCATTCCAATTGCCAAGAATTATCAATGCATCTTGATTGCTGGTGTGATCACTTTCAAGCTGAAGATGTTGGTAAAATTCTTCAATTTGTCCTCACTAGCTCTAGTAGGAGCCCTGGGGGTGTAGTGGTTATGAGTTGGGCTGCGATCCACAGGGTCAGGGTCAGCAGTTCCAAACCACCAGCAGCTCCAAAGGTGAAAGACTGGGCTTTCTACTCCAGTAAACAGTGCCGTCTTGGAAACCCTCCAGGGGTCGCTGTGAGTCAGCATTGACTCGATGGCAGTGAGTTTGGATTAGGCAGCGCTCTAGTGGTTGGTGCATACATCTGAGTAACAGTTGTGCTGAGTGGATTTTCTTGTATACAGATAGATATTATCCTCTCAGACAGCGTTGTAAGGTCAAGATAGATCTTAAAATGGTCTTTTTAATGATGAACGCAACACCGTTCCTCTTGAATCAGTCATTTCTGGCAGAGTAAACCCTATGACTGCTGATTCAAAGTGGCCAGTACCTGTCCATTTTAGCTTACTAACACAGAGGATGTCAATCTTTATGCATTCCATTTCATTTTTGACGACTTCCAATTTTCCTTACTACATTGCAAGTTCCAGTTATGAATTGCTGTTTGCAGCTGTTTCTTCTCACTGTGATCCGTGCCTCTCCAGCAAATGAAGGTCCCAAAAGCTTTACCAGTGGTTGGCTCGACTTTGAGAAAGTACCTCGTCCTCACTTATATTTTGAGTGCCGTCTGATCTGTGGCGCTCATCTTCCGACATTCTCTCTGACAATATTCGGGTGCCATCCAGAAGGTGTTCAGTGGCTAATTCCTGAAGTAAATAGCCTGTGCCTCCTTCATAGTCTATTCTTAGTCTGCGAGCTCTGCTGAAACTTGTTCACGTGGGGTGACCCTGCTGGTATTTGAAATATCACTGACATCGCTCCAAGCATCACAGCAACACCCAAGCCACCACATTGCAACAAACTGACAGACAAGCCATGGTTCCACAGTATTAAAGTGTCCTAATTTCAGCTGGACCCACAGACATGTAACTAAAGGCCATAGCTTTACTTCCAGCTAGCTGAGGCCACAACTAGATTATTTTCACAGAAATGTGAATGGAATGAGAAACCTCTTGGTCATACCTTAAAAACAAAACAACAGCCCCTCCCTTCCCATAGCCTCTTTTCTTACCAGCTGAAATCTTGATAACGTGGTGGCAAATGAAAGAACTATGTTAGATCGTGAGACTCAAACCATAGTTAGAGAATAACAGAAGAGCAAAGGA